CAGATCTCATAAGAACGTTCGCTGGGTAGAATAATTAGGTGATCGCCGAAACTGAGGCCCATTTTCAAGCCAAGTCGGTGATCAGTGTATCACCACTGAATAAAATAAAAACAAATTTTGCGAAAAAAATGTGTTTTGGTATGGCAGGCCGAGGACTTTTTAACTGATCTATTATATCAATTAAACTTTTTGTGGACGAGTCCTGTTGATGTGGTGAAAATAACTGAAATCGCATAGTAATCATGCACCTCTCCATATACTGGTTATATTACTGATACTACTGAAACCGCGGTAACTCAATATTGTAAATGCGACAATAAATTGTAAATCCAAGTTCATACGAAAAAACTTCATGAGAGCGAAGTACAAATTGGGGTATGGACGTGGCACCGCTTTTTTTTTAAGGTGAAATGCTATTTATCAGGAACTACTCGCCCTTTGTGTTAAGTTTATATCACATATTTTCCATTTTGGTAAACTTTTAAAAGAAATATTTCATTCTCAAAATGATATTGTAATACGGTGCATTGTCCTGATGAAAAATTTTTTTTCTTCTGCAAACTGGGTATTTTTTTTACGAATTTTTTCCTTCACCTGGTCCAAATGGTTCCAATTACATTCAGAATTAATTACTTTACCAGTTTGCAAGTAATCCACAAACAAAATTCCTTACGCATCCCAAAAAAACGTATGCCACAACCTTCTTGGTCGATTTCGGGACACGAACTCGTTTCGAAGCCGAACAACCAGGTTCAGAACACTCTTTACCCTCCTATTTTGATTCAGGATCATGGTCTCATCCATAGTGATGAATCGACGCACAAAATCCATTTTATTCTTTTTAAAACGTTTCAAATATTGCTGAAAGTCGCATTCGAATGTGCTTTTGTTCCATTGTTAACGAATACGGCACCCAATGTGCACACAGCTTTCTAAAACCCAAAATTTCACTTAAAATATGGCTCACACTGCCAAATGAGATGTGTACAGTCTCTACTAAATCTCTCTCCGTCAATCGACGATCTTTTAAAACCGTACAGAATATGCTATGATTTCTGGTGTTGATGCGATTTTTGGACGTCCTTCACGCGGATCGTCTCCAAGGCTAGTACGACCACGTTTAAATTCAGCAACTCATCTTTTTACCGTTCTAATTGTAGGTCAACTATCATTACACACTTTTAACATTCGTTCGTGAATTTCTTTTGGTGCCACACCTTCCATAAGAATAATTTTATCACTGTACGATATTCAATTTTTTCCATTGTAAAAAAAATTCGTTGACACAGCGACACTAAATGGCTTGTAAACAAAGAATAAATTGGCAGATTGAAATGAAACTTCACATACGTTCATATGTAGAGTGTACCACCACAACGAAAAAACTTATTGAAAAACCTCGTATTCACGAAATTTGGCATGGACTATTTTCAAAGGCAACGGTACAATCTCCGCAAAATTTTTTGAGATCGCACTGCAATAGCATATACATATGTAGCTGTCATACCTGTCTGACTCTACTCAAATCTAAGTTAAGGTATATTCACGAAATTTGACATAGATTATTGTTCAGGACTTTAAATTCAATCTGAATGCATCTTTATCTTCATAATTCGTTAAAATTTAGTTTAAAGCCTTACTTACCGATATTGAACTTTGCAATAACCTTTGAATCCAGTGCCGACTATTATAACTAAATCGAAAATATTATATTAAAAAAAAATTCTGCAATGTAATGGGAATAATTTTTTTTATATTTTTTCCTCTTTCTTACGCACCCATTGTTAAACATAAGATAATCGAGTAGACGGTAAACACTTTGCTACGTTTTATTGTCATTACGCCTTCCTCGTTCGTCTTAATAGAAAGGGGAGCCAAGGCTAAGGCTTTACTCAGGTAAAAAACACTTAAAGATGACTCACTGATTTCCATTTTGTAATATTATTTAATTATTTAGATATTACAAATAATTTCAAATTGTTTTTGAAGCTTAAATCTAACCTTTTTTTTGTATATAATTTATTTCAATTTCAAGCAGCGACACTGATTACTGTTCTAAACGCATCGTGCGAAATGATTAAATTGCTGCTAAAGTATATCCTTTAGCTGACCTTAAACTTTTTCCTGTCAAATCTGTGTTTTGTTTACCCATCATACATTCGACACATTGTAAACATGTAATAAATTCAACTTTTTGACGTTTTAAGTATATACCTAAGCCAGTGGTCAGCATGAGAGGATCTGTCACTGTGTTGGTGAGCACGAATCAAAAGCCCAGTGAGAAATTGGAATTAAAATTAAGCAAATTTTATAAGCCAAATTATAAAATAAATTATTGTTCAATAAAATTTGAAAATTAAATATGTTTTCACTTCCTATGAAAATATTCAGTAATACTAAAAGCTATATATAAATAAAAGATTATTCAAACCTCAGAGCAAATAATAAACAGATAAATAAGAATATCTGCAGTTTCTCGACATG